ACCACTGCAGCCGCCTTGGGGTCCTGCCCCCAGGAAACACTACCGGGGGGGCCTTCTGTGCAAGGCCAAGCCGACCCGTTTGCCCCCTCCCCTTCCACGCATCACAACTGCCTTGCAGCCCAGTCCCTGCCCTGGGGGTCAAAGCCGGAATGGTCCCCCCAGCCGGGAGAGCAGGCGAGCGAGGGTCTTTCTCCAGGCTGCTGGGCTCCCCCCCCGAAAAGGCCGCTTAGAGAGGGTGGCTTCCCTTGATAGGGTCTGCACAAAAACTCCCTCAGAGGCCCCGGAAGGGATTATCTGCAGCCCAAACTCACTTGGCAGTTAAAATCTTGTGATCCACATCATCCAAGGATGAGCTGTGTGCCACGTGGAACGTGCCAAACAAGGTGTTACGTTTCTTTTTAATCTTTTCAGCCTGAAGGAGAGAATGAGCAGAGAAGTGAGCAGCGTCAGCGCTCTGAAGGCCCAGCAAAACGCCCCCCACGTTCAACAGACTGACTGCAGCTTGCTCTGCTGCCCCACTGCCGCCCCGGTGCCTCCGCCACCTGCCCCTCCTGTTCTGGGTCAAAACAGGTAAAGACGGGTGCCCCCGTTCTGCCACAGACTCCCTCTCTCCAGCCACAGACCTCCTTAGCGTCCCACCTCTGGCATTTATGCTCCCTGGTCACTGCACAGATTCCTTACATCTGTAGGCTTAGTTGCGGCAAGGACCAGCATGGAGGGAGAAGCAGAACAGAAAAAGTTCTGGCTCAAAGAGGAAAGCCGCAGCGTGCTCCCTTTTGGGGCAGAGGTGACCTCGGGCAGCTTCAACGCGACTCCTGGGGGACCCTCGAGACCGCCAGCCTGGCACTCACCCCCTCCTTGGCCAGGAGCAGCTGCTTCTCAGCGTTCTGTTTCTTGATGTTGTAGTACTGCACCTCCACCTCGTGGGTCAGCTGCAGCCACTTCTGCAGAGCCTCAGGGGCTGCCCAGCTGCTGTGGGACTCCAGCTCCTTCTCGGCATTCCTGAGGGCCATGCGGACCTGCCGGGGGAACGGCACAACAGCCCCTGCAGTGCTTCGAGGCAGAGAGAGGGGCCCCCCGGGGGGCGAGCATTGGACTGCAGCAGCCTGGGGTGCCCCGCTGACGCGTGACGCTCAACGGCCTTGCGGCGGGGGAAAGCCAAGCTGCACCATCCAGACCCAGAGACGGCTGAAGTCCTAAAGGGCAGCAGGTCAAGCCCTTCCATCTTCCGGAAGGAGGAAGTTCACTTCCGTAGAAGGAGCCGCCTGCCTGCCCCGCAAGACGTACCTGCTCCAGCTCTTGCTCCGCATACTTCTGCCTGCTCAGCTCGTTCTCTGTCCCTTCCCGCAGCTCCCGGAGCCGATGAGCCTCTTGCTTAGCTATGCTGATCTCATCCTGGAGCCTCTTCTCCAGGGAGACCTTCTCCACCTCCACCGTGCGGTGCTCCTCCTGGGCCTTCTGCAGCCTGCGAAAGAGACAGGGGACGATGAGGCGGGAGGGGTGTGTATCCTCCCCCAAGGCTCCCAGTCTACGGGAGCAGGGACAAGGACGACTTGGAGGAAAGACAACAGGGAAGGGGGCTTCCTGAAGATGCAAGTCCTGAAGCAGAAAGGAACAGAGAAGGTGTTCCAGAGGAGCAGCAGAAACCTAGCAGAAGGGGTGAAGGAGGAGATCCAGAGAAGGATCTGGAGAGGAAGAGCAAATAGGGAAAGGAGGACGAAGCTGGGTTGGGAGTATCTCAGGGTTTCTTTGGAGACCTTCTTGAACCCCTTTCTTTGGCTTCTGAGCAGGCCTCTGGCAGAAGGATCTTCACAGGAGTGGCCCAATGACCAGCTGGGTGGAGGACCTAATGGGTAGAAAGTACTGAGCAGGAGGGGATGCCAGAACCCTTGCAAGGGAGAAGAAACAGAATTTCGTCTCAGGGCCTTCACTTCATTCCTCCCATTCTGCCAGAGACTTTTTTCAACCACTGGATCTAATTCCAATACTCTCTACCAGATTCTCACAACAGTGAATTCATTCTGAATCTAAAAAGCTGGATACCAAACCAAGCTAATACTTGAATGTCCACCACCAAGATCTTTGCCCAAGCAAGAGATGAGCGAACTGACATCAGCCTAATCCAGTGTTTCTCAACCTTGCCAACTTTAAGATGCGTGGACTCCCAGAATTCCCCAGCCAGCATCTTAAAATTGGCAAGGTTGAGAAACACTGGCCCAACCCAGAGAGAGCCACAGGCCTTGAGCAAGACTGAGATGGACGTGGAAAGCTTAGGTGGCATCTTAATTCCCAGGAGGAGGATGGCAGTCGAGGGCACAGGAGAAGAGAGAAACTTTGCCCAGCTGATATTCACAGCCAGCAGCTCTTAGGGCACAGAGACCAAAGACAACCACCCGAGGGTCCTGCTCCTACAAATGCATGCCTGCTTTTCCTCAACCTAAAAACACCCCTGCCCAGCTCTCTTGACTCGCCCAGAGCAGGAATTCATGGAATCCCACTGTGGAAAGGAACTGTGGGCACCCCACTTCCAACCCCTTGCCCAGTTGGAATCCCAACCGAAGCCTCCCTGGGAATGGGAGGCTATCACTCCCCCACCGCCTCACTTCCGCTGTCAACTGCTCTAACCATTAGGATTTTTTTCTCATAGTCAGCCAGAATCGGCCTTCCTGCAACTTCTGTCCATTATTCTGTCTCCTGCACTCTGGAATGACAGGGGACAGGCCTGGACCCTCTTCAGCATGACCATAAATACTTAAAAGAGGGCCACCATATTCCTCCCAACCCCAGGCATCTTTTCTTAAATGTATCTACCCGCCTCCATTTCTCCCCCAAAGGTTTCCAGTTCCCCAGTCGCCCTCATTGCCCTTCTCTGAAGCTTTCCCAGTTTCTTTGAATCCTCCTTAAATTGAGATGCCCAGAACACATATAAAACAGCCCCCAACCCCAGAACAGCTTTATGCTCCCACTGTTTGGCCATCTCTGCTAGACAAGTTTGTTTGGAGCTGACTTGCTAATTTCCAAAACTCAAAAAATACATTTTGTCCCAGTGGAGGGAGGAATAGCTTTGCACATCTCAAAGATCGCCCTTGTGGTCTCTGGCTCGGCAGCCTCCCGGTCCTGCCGCCTGATGGAGCTGGAGCTTGATGGAGATCCCACTCCCTGGGCAGAAAAAGTCTGGAGGCAGAAGGAAGCAGGCAGCTCTTTTCTCGGGGGGGCGATCTATTGGACAAGCAGGCTGTTTAATCCAGTTTTTGTTTCAGAACCAAGTTTCATGCTTGTTCTTCCATCTCGCAATGCACAGAAGGTGAGAGGGAGCAACTGAAGCCACAGAAAACCACCTTCAAGCAGGGCAAAATCAGATGGTGGAACTCCCTACCACAGTAGGAAGAGGAGGAGAAAGGGCTTCCGAATGTGACTCGTGAATACATTAAAATGGCTAGCCTCTAGCTACTAGGAAAACAACCTCCCCACGCAAGGAAGAATCCACCGGTCATTAGTAAGACGGGGGCTGCTCTGTCATTTTCTCTTTAAGACTCTCTTTGGAGAGATCAAGGAAAAAAAGACAGTGCACAAGGTGGAGGGAGCAGGTCCTCCACGAAGGGTGTGAGTGAGTCTGGACACATTTGTGGACTCGGCCTTCAGTTGATTGTCTTGCAGGAACCCAGGACAGAACGCTACGGGCAAGACCCCCAAGGGACCAGAGAGGGAGAAGAAGCCGTGCACCCTTAGCACCGCCCAGGGATGGTCAGAGGGTTTAAGGGATTCCTTGGAGATCTGCGGGTACAGAATTAACCCACACAAGCAGCCCCATCACAGGCTTGCAAGCCGGAGAAGCTCCTGAAGAGCTCCCAGGATCCTGAGAGACGTGCGTGCAACTTGCTCTCCCTGGAGATGGAGGATCTTTGTCTGCATCAGGACTTAGATGCAAAACACCCAAGGGCCTCTGGTTATTGACTGCCACTCTCCTGGGTTGCTCGAAATGAAGACACACCGGCCTGAGCTGATGGGTGGGTAGCTGGTTAAGGAGGGAGAGGGCTGCTGCTCACTTGCTTCCAGAGCGAGGCCAAATCAAGCAGGGAACGGGTTGGCCTGCCTGAGGGAGGCGGCACCAGCGTTCCTGCTGTACGTGGTCAGTCACTGTCACTTCAGACAGCCCCCCCCACCTTTAATTCACATGAAGATAAAAGAGGGAGGAAGGGAAGCACATTCAGATCTGGCAGATTCTTTATAGTCAGTCATTCTGATAAAAGCAGCTTTACGTCTGCATGGTGTTTGTTTCTTAGTCTGGCCTACCCGGTAGGGCTGAGAGTCACCTTCTTGCCTTCTGCACAGCCCTGACTTCAAGCTAAGGACCTCGGAGCACTTGGCACGCTGAGAACACGACAGGTAAGACAGAGCATGAAAGAATGACATGAAGGACTTGACCCTGATAGCATGAAAGAGACACCAGCAAGCTCAATCGTTCATCCATACTGCAGAAACTCTGATCAACAGTTCCTCCTACTCATCCACATGCTGGCCAAGAAGTATGTAAAGAGAGTTAAAAGTCAAGTTAAATGTTAGGGGGGAAAGTTCCTACCCCCTACATCACAGAAGCCTGCTGGAAAGTGTGCTAAATCTGCTCCCTCCTTCCACATTTTCAACAAGAGGTTGATACACACAAGTGACTTATGTTAGGGACAAGTGAAGACTTGACTATTTCAAAGAAGGTGAAGTGAACCTCCAAGGAGACCCTCCCACCCCTACAGGGCATTTGATGCCCACCCTCAATCTTTTTTTTTTTTTTTAATCTCTGCACTGAATATGAGGGGAACCAGGATGTCAGTACATCCGGGTGGACAACCCTTTTCCAGTTGTTGACCGCATCTCCTTGGGCAGTATCTCTTTGGGGACATGCTAGAGCAAGTGCAGCCAGAGTAAAAAGCAGATGGGGAGCAACCGTTCCTCCTCCTCTCACTCCAATCTACCTGGCATATAGAGAGGAGACCCAAGGAGCCACGCCATGCTCGCCCTGTGGGGATTCATCCATTTCGATCAAGAAAGCCAAAGCAAATGCAGACTTTGCCAGAGCACAAGGAAGGAAGGCAGGGAGGCAGGGAGGCAGGGAGGCAGGAAGGCAGGAAGGCAGGCAGGCAGGCAGGCAGGGGCTCAGCAGCAGCTATCCCCATCCAGGGTCCCAGCTGGAAGGAGGGACAGACAAACCCACCTCTCCTGGAGGTCGTGGAGGCTCTGCTCAGCTCTGTGAAGACCTTCTAGGTCCTTCATCATCTTTTTCATGTGCTCTTTGGAATAGCGGTTCTGGATGTAAGCAAACCAACAGCCTCCCACGCCAATCACAATGGACACCACCAGCATGAAGTCTTTCAAGTGGTTATGACGGGTCACTGCGGAAACAGAAGTTGAAGAGCGGCCCTGGTAAACAAGGAGACGCACCCACCTCTTTTCCTTCCTCTCCTCTGCCCCTTTGATTTGATCTGATCTGGAGGCCGACCTCCTGCTAGCCGGATTCCAGACAAG